TGTTTCTCTTCACTCGTATTCGGGAGACACATTTGTAAATAAATTCTCGCCTACCAAAGAAGAGGAAAATATTGTAATGATGTGCCTGAAATCGGCGATTATTCGACAGGAAAAACTCTTTACTGCCGGGCCCTGATAACGAAAAAGTGGGTAAATCTTCTTCCTATATGCAATATGACTTTGTATATCACTTTGTGTATATAGAATCCGTGTTTTGTGGGTAATTGATAGAAAAAGATCTATTGGCGGCAAATCGTCCGTCCGTCCGTCCGTTCGTGGTCAACGCTAGCGACTATACCATTCAGATTTTCTTCAAAATTGATATTTCCCGACCGATCAGAAGAATCTCTAGTTCCCGTGAGTTTGAAACATATATTTTGATATTTCGGGATACTTTACCGAAAGATCCAGAAGAGAACGGGGGCGCAAGAAGGGAACATCCGATATAGTGCGCTGAAGATGATCTCGAAACGACGACGAGTTAGGCAGAAATCTTAGCCTACATTTCTACCGAGGGATAAGGGTACGGGTATGATCCTGCCAACGGAACAAGAATATTTCAAAAGAGATCTGGGTAGGAGGAGGTCAAAAGCTCGGTGAAGCCAACCTCCTAGAGGAGGAAACCCTAAAAAAATCCTGATCCTCCTAGTGGGGGGTTGGGGCAATGGGCCAGCTCCTCGTCGTCCACGTAAAAACTAAGAGATGCTAAAAGGCCTAATCATGAGAAAACGGACGGTAACTGGAAACGAACTAGGTAAAGGAAGTGGATAATGAATATTGGAACATGAAATACTCAAAGTCTGGAAAATAAGATACAGGAGGTAATTAAGGAACGTAAAGATTTAAATATGGATATTGCAAGTTTAAGTGAGACAAAGAAAAAGGGCACGGGTATAGAAGAGATTGGATCCTATGTTCATATTTGGAGCGGAGTACCAAAAGATCAGAGGGGTAGTAAAGGGATTTCCATAGTCATAAAAAAATTCAGAAGCCATATTATAAGTTGGGAAGCCATAGACGAGAGGCATGATTAAAGTAAATTTGGATAGTTTTAGATACAAAATGACGATTCTGGGAGTGTACGAGCCTAATGAAAATGAAGATACTAGTATTTTAGAGGAATTTCACTCAAAAATAGACGGAGTAATCAGTGAATGTGGGCTAAATAGAGAAATTATCTTGTTCGACGATTTTAAAGCTAGAGTGGGAAAATCTGAGAGCCCAAAAGTCATTGGACAACATGGATAAGAGGGGGAAAATTCAAATGGAAAAAGATTGATTCAACTATGTAAACAGCATGAACTTATAATCAGACACGGCCACTTCCAGCATAAGCATATATTCACTTGGGAAGGGAAGGGAAGAGGAAGGAGATCAGTGATAGATTCCGTAATCACTAGACAATATTTAATGGGTAAAGTAATAGATGTCAGGGCACACAGAGGCCCAAAGCCCAACCATTACCTAGTGAAGGCCAAAATTATGTTTTCACCTATAAAACAAAAAGAAATGGAGATCAGAGAACGAAAGGAAGGCAAAAATGAAAATAGGGAAGGTAGGAAATAAAATATAGCGGGTCTATCACAGTCAAGTATAAGATATTTATTTCAAAACAGATTGGATAATTTACTGAATGAAAACTTAGTTGTATCAAATGAGGAGATATTGTAACCACCGACGCACCCTATTACCTGATTTCCTTCGGCGATTCAGCTTTGCCCGGTTGCTTCGTCGTGATTGCCTAACTGTTAGAGAGAAAGATTTAAGCATTTTCTTAATACTACTTTAATCACTCTTGAACTCGGTGCGGGTGAAGCCCAGTGACATAAACAAACTTACAATATAACTTATAACTAATCTTAACTTAGAAAAGGCGGTTTCGTCACGCGAGTAGGGCTGCGATGTGGCGAGGCGGCGTGGCATTCGGGGCGTCCAGGCACGAATAGTCCCGGCCCCGAATCAAAGCAACAAGTGCACTCGCGTCTACCTCACAAACAAATGTCCTCGCGGCTGGCTCAAGAACAAGTAATCTCGCTGCTACCTCAGACACAAGTGATCCCCCTGCCGCCTCCGAAACAAGTGCTCGATTCATTTTCGGCGGTCCCTCAGGAAGGCTCGCGGGTCACGTGATTCCTCCTCCGCATCGTATATTTCAATTGGATGTCGCGCCACCCGAAGATCCTTCGCCAATCACGGCGCCAGCGGCGAAGCTACGCTCCCCGGCAACTCCCCCCGAAGTTACCTCCATCACTCAAATTCTAAGAACAAGGCGCGGATAATTCCGTTGCTCAGTTTTGGGGTGCGGGAAGTGTATTTCCCCATACGTCATAAGGGTGCGTCCGGCGTGGGTTGCGCTGAACAAAGGAGGCGCTTTCCTCCTTTCCCTCGGCGAGCTAACCGGCCCTCCCAGGTATAGCAGGAAACGGCATTTCCGGCTGCTCTTAACGAAGGCGCGATTCCTTAATTAAATAAAATATTTTGTTCGTGTCGCCACCTGATAAATGCGACCGTCCCATTACAATATATAAACACCTCAAAGATTGTCTGCATCAAGCGGCTAAAGAAGCTCTTGGTGAAATACATTTAAATAAGAAAAGGAGAGGGAAGAACTATTGGGTTACTTACGACCTAAAGCGGGAAATAGAAGAGAAGAAGAGAATGTATGAAAAATTGTTGATTACCAAGAAAGAAGAAAATAGGAATATAAAATCCAACGAAATAGAGTTAGAAACATCCTATGAAAAGAAAAACAACAATCATGGGAGCGTAAATGCCAAGAAGTAGAAAAATACATAGGTGGAACAAAAGCAAATGAGATTTGGAAGTTCAGAAAAGAGGTAAAATCTCCTCCAATGAAAAAAGTCCACATACAAGGTATATCTCTAAGCAAATGAGAAGAGTACTTTAGGAAATTATTAAATGAAGGAAGATCAGACTTTCTTACAACTACAGAACGGGAAAAGAGATCTCCAGCAAGGGAAACTCCAGGAAGCTTCATTTAAAGTACACCCAAAATTTGAAGAAAGTTCTTCAAAATCGCAGTGCCGCGCGTCAAACGAGATCGACCGGGGAATATCCATTTTGGAAAACGTATGGTCTACATATAGTTTAGGTGCTACTGTTCACGCACGGATTCACGTTTTGAAAGAAAATAAACAACACTTTTTCGGTATCAGGGGATCTCAAATTGGGTATTGTTTTTCTGAATTTATTGCTCTTTCAAGGTTGTTTATCTCCTGATTAGTTTCGTTTGTTTGGTTCAGATACTGATTTGATAAGCTTCCTCCTAAGGCCTCCTTTAAAGCTCAAGATGTAGTTCGAGCAGTGTAAATGCCTCCAGCACAGTGTTCAAATGATTTCACAAAAAAATGGGCAATTGTTGTGGTAAGTTTTTGATCACTGATTTCTTTTCTTTCCTTCCATCATTTAATCATCCGTTTTGGGTTGGGCTGGAATGTCTGATTTGTTGTCTTGCTTTCTGGGTAAGATGTTTGTACAAAGTTTTTTGTTGATCACATGGTCTCTCCTTTGCTTCTTTTGTGTGACATGATCCATGCTAGTCAGTGGAGTGCTTTCTTGATTTTACTCATCTATTTAATTCTATTGTTATATTCTTATAACTATGTGTCTATCTGTTCAAAATATCTGTACATGGAGGAATTGTTTCTCTTCTTTCTCTATCTTTTTCCAATATATATTATTTAATTATCTAAAATACCCTTTTACAATGTCTTTAATTTTTATATTAATTAGTTTGGATTGGGGAATTATTTATGGAGTAAATTATGAACATGACATAATATATGCACTAATATATGTTTTTACAAATTTTATATATGAATGAATGAAAGGTGATCAAACCCCTCTGTATTTAACCTATGTTCAGTTTTGATTATGATACATGTTCATTTTGGGAATATTATTGAGTTTAAACTACTTCAATTTTTATGCAGCTGATGGTAATTGAATATTGATATCTTAAGTTTATATGCCTACCTATTTCCAAACATGGAACATGTTACATTAAAATTCATGGATAAATATATTAACAAAATGCATTAATTGTATTTTTCAAATACGTTTCAAATAATATTACTGTATTTAAAAATGGGTAAAAAGCAGGTCTAATGTACACTCTTTGGTACTAATACAAAAAATTCTTCAAACAAGTTACATCTGTTTTGGATCTATGGATGAAGTTTCGATTGTATGAATGTTATTATATTAGCCATTAGTATATCATGAGAGGAATAAAAAGTGAAATCCTATTTTGAAAGTATTGTATTTGAATAGAATGCAAGAAAGGTATTGTATTTAATAAAATCACAAACTTTACTGCTAAGAAAATTTACATATACATACATTTTACATAATACATATGGTACTACCTACCGAAGTTGTCATATGTGAATGGGATTTCATGTGCCTGTCATGTAAAGTTTCTGTTGAGTTTTAGATTTACTTTTTAAAAATGATGTAGGTATGAATGTTATAGGGAGGTGTATAGGGAGTTAGAGGGTTATAGAGATATAAATACGAGTAATTTTATGTTATTTCAAATTGATTATTATGAAGAGACTGATATCTAATCAATTTGTCCCATGACACAATGTACTGAAGTCTGTCTTTGATATATTTTTGATTATTATGAATATAGTATTATGAAGAGACGTATCTAGTCAATTTGTCACATGACACAATGTACTGAAATCTTACTTTGATATATCTTTATTATCATTATTGTAAATAGAGCACATTACATGGAAATTTTAATTTATAATTACGTTCATGATCATCATGAAGTATAGATGAATAACAGAAATTGTTATAAGTAATTCATATTTAACGTACTTTAATAATTTTGTTATTTGTCAAGCAATAGCTTGACATTGAAAAACTTTAAACCAAAATTGACAATATGTTCTCAATGTGTGCTCAAACTTAACTTTTTTGCACAACAATATATCTCACAACTAGTATGAACATATAGTAGATGCATTAAAAAAAATCAACACATATGATAGAACTTGTTATTTCATAGCTTCTTCATATTTTGCGATGATATGAAGTCATGCTTCACCATGATGCAGCTTTTTAAAAACCGAACCTGCAAATGAAAAAAAATTATTATAAGTATCGTGTAGATAATATAAAAAGGTTTCAATGTTAATTAAAAATGTTTGAGTAGACAAAGAAACACTTGGTAAGAAGAGATAAAATAGGTACTAGTCAAAAATGAAAACGGGATATAAATTCAACATTGTCAATTGTTAGTTAATAAATGTTAAAATTCTAAACAATAAGGTAAATGAAAGTGAAATCAAGAACTGTTACAATTGATTGTTTCATTGGATAACATTTTTTATTCAGCTTCTCTAAAAAGGTAATGTCCAAAGAACATTCTCAATGCAAATTAGATTTTCAGCCACTGGTGCTAAACACACTGGAATCTTCTGACATGATAAAATAAATTACTTTGCTTTTGTAACACCCAAGTGAGTTCTTTGCATGAAATCACACAATTCATGTCAAGATACTCCCCATTATATTGTTTGCAGTGCTTCAAATATTCTCATTATGTACAGATTCATAAATAGTAAAATAGAATAATTAATAGACAGGGGCTTAAATTCTGCCTATGCAAAATTAAACTAAAAGAAATACCTCATAAAAATAGACTTAGATGGCAAGCAGTGAATTCATTTACATTTCTGACATATAATCAACTTGCAGATGAGTCTATAAATAGTGAACTAGAGAAATGGGAAAGGGATGATTATATCTGAAATGTAGTGTTCTTATAGGTTATAGTAACATATACAATAGTGCGATTGTTTCTATTGCATTAATGATAAGTAAAATAAAGCAAACCTGATGAGGAGCACCAGCAGGAATAATTACAGCATCTCCAAGACACTGCAAGACTGCATGTACTTCAATTTTGTACTCTCGCCTGAGGCGTCCTCTAAGGATTCTATCCAAATACCAGTTTTCATCATTAATTAAATCCTGATTTGGTTGTGAAATAATACCTCTTGAAAAATTAACTTTTTTAAGTAAATCATTTATCTTCTTTGTATCTTGTGAATTGTACACGTGCCAAACTGCACCTGGTATATCTCCATTCTTTATTACTCTCTCTATAGACATTTCATCACATCCAGCATCTTCTACAGCCTGTAAAACTTTTGACAACAGAATTCATGAAGTCTATAGTAGTTTTCTGTCAACAAACAATATACCGCTTCATTTAAGTAAAATAATATGCATACCTTTTGTTTCCTCATAAACATTATCTTCATTTGTATCTTTTCCAACATATACCAGTATATTCAAAGCATCAGTTTTATTTACATGAAGGTTTTTTGTGCCCACCCAGGGATATTTGGCTGTCCCGTATGCACATAGTAATTCTGTGCCCAAGTCCTTAGTTAGGAATCCATTTGGAATGTAATTCACAAAATTTAATAGGCCATTTGGATGTGTGTAAGCAGTCAAGGGAAGAGCTTGCAGAAGATCACCCATGTGTAGTGGCAAAATTGATTCAAACATAGTACATCTAGGCCACTCTTTCATTTTCAAAAGCAAAGGGCAACCTTTTTTATCTTTTGGCCGACTTCCCACGTCTTCAAAACCATCCCAGAATATTTGCATTTTCTGATTTGGTATTACCTCCCCGGTAATGCAATTAATAATATCAACTTTACTTTCTCCATATCTTTGTGAAAATGTTTCAGGGGTCCACAATTTCATATCCAAGTTCTTGGATATATGTGATATTATAAGCGGGTATTCGTTCTTCCATACTTTCTGTAATAAATTAAAAAATACAACTGAATCCAATGTACAATTATATAAGATTGAAATCAGTGCAACTAAGTAATGATTTTGACTGTATTTAATATTTTGGAACTTTTATACAAAGTGCAATACAACATAACTAAATTCTTTGGAAATCAATTTTCTTCACGTGCAGAAGAAATTTTTTCTGCAGATAATTCATAATAAGAAATCTTTATTCAAGACATTTTATAATGAATAGAGCAAATGAAGTTTGCTTGGTATTTATACACTGTGAGTTTTCTGACACTAGCAAGTTTTTTTTGTTTTGTTTTTTTATTTCTCACCCTTGGAAAATAAATGAAGATCGTGCTTAAAATTACAATATAATTTAAAATTCTATTATCACTCAATGGATATTTATGAAATTATATTTAATGTAAAATACGTGTTGGCTGTTCATTCTCCATTAACTCACCAAGAACACTTCATAATTTCCGCTGAAGCTGGGGTCTAATAGTCTCAGCAAATTTTTGTGACCAAGCCATGTATGAGGAATAATACAGTCAGAATCTGTCTGATCTGACCCATCATCAGAATCGCCATCTCTTCCCTGAAAAAATGAAATGTAGATAAAGATACTGATTAGATATCTAAAATACAAAGGAAAATGTGCAAGCATCATTTCCATAAAACACTTAAAACGTTCTCAGAAGTGAAGTGTTTAGAGAAAACTAAAGACAAGAAACATGATATAAGGTAATTTCTTCAGTCCAAAACATTATGTATGGGAGTTGGTGTTGACAGTCCTACATCTCTTCCAATGGGTTGTTAATTTAGCAAGAACAGCCACCTCAGGTAATCTTTGTTTTTACAGAACATGCATGTTAAACCCAAAAAGTACAAATTTTATAATATTTTTATTATTAACAATGACTTTTGCATTTGCTTTATCGTCTTCTTACTATCATTATCTTTGTTTATAAAAAAATACTACTAATTTATTTAGTATTTGTTAGCAACTTTGGGATTAGGTAATCAAAGAACATATAAGGATAATGACTCCAAAAACATAGGAATATTTGACCTGATTGTGATTTACGTCAATGAATAATCATGTTGAATTAGTTACAAATATCTTTCCATTAGCATTCCACACTATCGAACATAATCAGTGTCTTCAGAAATTCAGCCAGAATATTGAGATGATCTCTTACTCTGCTTTTGGACAATAAATGTAGATTCACTATCTTTGTATGATTTCTTGAGCTCTATTTTTCTAATTGCAGAAGGAGGAGTGAGTTTGTAAGTTGTATCATAAAATCAAACCTGTAGTTTGTTTCTTGATGCATAGATACATAGCTTCCTATTAAATGAGAGTGAAAATTTAGTTTTGAAGTGTTGCCTACTATATTCGGTACCTTTATCCACAATATTACTATGTAAAATAAAAGAAAAGGGTAGGGATTACGGAACTGAAGAAGATGTGTGCCCATAATATACTTCTCCCCATATGCCATGTACAATTTTTACTGTTTTTATTATAAATTAATTATTTATTTATTTAACAGGCAATCATTCAATTTACAGCAAGTGTATACAGTTCAGTAAATGAATACTTTCAATAATTTACAAAAGTATAATCGAAAATTACTAGTCTTATATGCGAAAACAAAAATATACTTGATTAAATAAAATCGTGTAATATGTTAGATTTACAGAAGTTCATAAGTGATAAATGGTAGTATAAAATCCAAATTAAACTAATTTGCAATTCAACCTATTAGCAACAATGACCAATAAAAGAAAATTAATTTGTTCTTGCTATCTATTACAAATATTTGAATATTGTAAAACAACTGTCAAGATAGTAACTTAGAAAAAAAAGTATTCACAATCAACTTTATAATTTATCAATTTATGCAAAAACATATGTTCATTATATAACCTGTGAAAATATAAGGTAATATTTAGAATGGTAGCCATGCGAGTGTAATTTTTGTTATTCACAGTGACGAATCTCTTAACCAGATTCAGGAAAAAGCGGAAGAATTTAATGTACTTATATACATGACATTCATAGATTGCACAAAGGCTTTTGATTCTGTAGAGCATGTGAGTGAGATTCGTGCATTAAAAGAGTTAGGGTCAGATCACAAGTATATTATAATTCTGCAAAAGATGCAAAAAAAGATTCAAAAGTTTAAACTAAAATGATTGACCCAAAATTTAAATCAAATTAAAACAAGGCAACCCAATTTCACCAAAATTATTCATCTGTGTACTGGAATATATATTCAGAAAACTAAACTGGTCAGACAAAAATTACGGTTTAAACATGAATGTTAAAAGGTTATACAATTTACTTTTCACAAATGATATAGTTTTTACAAACATGGGAGTAGAACATCAATAAATGAATTACGAAATAAACTAAACAAGTATTGAAGTAGGGCTAACGATGAACCCAAGAAAAATAAAAAAAATGTCAAATTGGGTAGAACATAAAATTATAATAGAAAACAAAACCATTGATTATGGGAAGGAATATACTTATCTTGGCCAAACTATAACAATAAATGATGATGATATAAAGAGAAGAATAGGACTAGCTTGGGAAAAATGTGGTTCTTGAAAGTTATTTTTGAGGACAAAAAATTAAACAGAAAATTAAAATTTCATCTCTTAGAGGGCTGTGTATTTCTGATGTTATTATACGGAGTACAACAATGGAGTTCAATACAACAAGATATGAAATCTTGCCAGAGTATGCTGAAGAAACGTGGAGAGGAAAATATACACATCAAACTAAAGGATGAAGTAAAGAATGAAGAAATTGGTAAACAGAGTGGTTTAAAGGATTTAGCAGCAATGGCTCAACAATTGAAATGGAAATAGGGTGGTCACATGGCAAGATTAAAACATGACAGATGAACATATGTGTCAACAACCTGGGACCCAAGACAGGAAAAAAGAAGAAGAGAACATCCTAAACAAAGATGGGTCGATGTATTTAAGAAGGTACATGGCAACATATGGTCAAAAATAGTAAGGAACTGGGAAACATGGAAGGCCCAAGTGAAATGTATGGCACAAAGCATTAGTGATAGGAAGTTCTAAATGTGAATAAGTGCAACTGCAAATACTGAAGTAAATATAAGTGTAAAAACTAAAATAAGAGTAAATCTATATTGTGAAGTGAAATGCAAAGTAATCAACAAAAGTGACACTAGAATGTATCTGAAAACTGAGTGCAGTTAGTATTAAATTAGCATATAGTGCAATGTACAGGCAGGATGGAACTAGGTGGTAGTACTGCAGTGATAACAATAAATTGCTCAAGAAGTGGTTCACCTAAAGAGATAAGCAAAACCATCCCTGTGTCCTGGCAGGAGGCCCCTGCTCTTTTAGGGATTCAATGGGCTTATATCATCATCATCATCATCATCATCATCATATTCTATGTGATGGAATTTTTATTTGTCATTCAACATTAGAAAAAATCTTAGAAAAAAGTATAATAATTAAAATTTTAAAAAAATATGAAGATCTGGTCAAGTAACCCTTCCACACTATTTACACATTGGTAATGTTGGTTCGTGTAGAAAATTGCAGTTGAATGAAAATCCATCAGTTAGTTGAGTGACATTTCAATTAATCGTAGATTCCTTTAATTACAGACATATATTACTAATATTCTTAAATAAAGATTTTATAGAATTTTTTATTCCCTAGCTTTTATTTTACTTTACAGGTTTCAGATGTTAACTCTTAAATGTATCATTATGTGAACTATAATATATGGTAATATTAAAATTATTATTAGAATGATGTTAAACTTATCACTAGAAAAACATCAATGACTTATCAAGAAATGCTTGTTGCTTTTGTAATGTGTACATTTTGAAGAGTTATTGCTTGATTGTATCCATACTCTTCGTTTAAAAAAATTATAATTTTTATGAATATTAATATTATATAGACTATTATTTGAAGGTTTTATTTTCAGTTTCAGCAAATCATACAAAAACAAAAAATGTGAAATCGCGTTCTTGGTCAAATAGTCCATAATTCTTTGCATTAATCATTAAAATATTTATAAAACTGGCGAGATATTGTAGAAGGCTCCATTTCCTTTCATTACAGGGATTATTTTTATTATTTTCATTTTTATACATTTACATTTCGTTTTACCTGTCTGGTAGGATCCTTAGAATGAAGGAACATTGCTTCAAATGGTGTTTATTCTTCTAGTAAAATTGGAATAATACTGTGTTGACGAGCGTCTTGACAGACCTGAAAGGAACAAATGTGTATGAAATAGTACACGAGCATGACATGATACATAATACTGGGGAAAGTATTTAGGGATGATTATTTGGAAATCGTTACAAAAAAAATATCCTGAAAATACAAAGTCTGTGGGAATGTTTGTTACCTTAACGCAGTCGTCGTCCCAAATACTTGCAGGAGATATAGGTGCGCACCGTCAAAAATTAAGACACCACCCAACTCGTAGGAACGATTGAAATTTGAGAAAATGTAGCTTAATAATTACAAAACCAACCTCTCTACAGGTAGTGGTAATGGTAGCGTTGCGCACACCAGAATAAACAAAATGTTTAAAGATAAAAAGCAGCACAAGTGATCCTTGCTCTGAAAGCTGAACGTGTATCAATCGAACACCTAATGACTCATTAATCACTACAATCGTAAGCAGTTGTCGATATCATAGAGCACAGAGACAATGGCGAATCGGAACTGCAGTTTGTATGATTTTAAGCAAGTTTTATAATGTTTTAAAGAAGTAATTGGTAGTTCAGAATATCCCGAAGAGATGATCGTGATGAAAAGACATTTATTCATGAAAATAGGTGTTTTTATCATGGAGATTTGCAAAAGAATTAGATTAATAGAGAATCGATTATCTAAAATATCGACATGTTAATTTATCGCTAGAGAGATATCCAACACACGTGACTTAGAGGGTTTGTGAGGGCAGCACTATCGCTTCCAGAGGCGACACCCTCCTCGCCACCCAGGTGTCAAGAGTCGTGTGTTGGAAGCCGTGAACTAATGATTATAATAAGGTAAATGTGTCGATTTTGTTTTACGTTAAGGTCTTTCTTCGTTGGAGTTTTTTTCTCAAACTGTACGGATTTAAAATTGTTTTGGTTTTATGTAAGGAAACTTTCACGAAATATGTACATTTTTCGCTCAAATAAAGTTTAGAGAATAATGTATCCTAACCAGTTTTGAGCTATGGCCAGAGGGGGCGGGCGATACACAAAGATTTTTCTGGTATTACGTACTTCCTTTCCAGAATTCTTCTCTCTTCGGTATTTCCCCTCCAGGAGTTCGCCGTTTTCGACGTCCTTAGATCTCTGTATACCCAATCACCAGGTCTTAAACTTCTGCTCTCCATGGCTTTTTGGATGTATTTGTCCCATTTCAGAGTTGGCCTACCTCACTTTGCCATCCCAATATTTTATTTGGACATCTTCCTTCAGACATCATCTAGACGTGTCCATACCATTGGAGTGCTTGTTTTCTTATCTTTTAGTAATTGAACAAATTACCTCCACTGTTTCCATACATGTTTATTTCTGACTTTATCATACCGTGTTAAATGAAGGAATCTTATCAAATAGTCAATTTCCTCTGTTCGTATTTTGTCTGTTTTTTGCGAGGGGGGGGACATTTCTGCTCCATAAAGGACTATATTTTATATTACTCTATGGAATATTATTTTCTTTATTTCTTGTCGGATATTGCTATTTCATATCACACTGTGTAAAACATTTTTTGCTTGCTTCCCCATTATTATTCTGTAGTTAATATCCTTATCACATGTGCCAGGGTTGCATATTATTGAGCCAAGGTATTTAAAGTTACAGGATTTAATTGTATCACCATCTACTGTTATGTCCATTAAAGTTCGTATAAAGCACATGCATTTGCTTTTATTACAATTTATATCTAAACTACATCTGTTGTACTCTTCTTTCAGTTTCCTTAGCATTTATTTATTGTCCTCTTCATCATGAGTATCTAATACTTGATCATCCGCGTACAGCAGAGAGTGAAGGTTGTGGTCACCAATTTCAATTCCCATGCCCGATCATTTTTTGTACCATGTATGCAGAGCTTGCTCAAGGTATGTATTGAACAAAATTGGCGCTAGGTCACATCCTTGTTTAATACCTACAAACCTTCCAGAAATCGTGGAAAGAAAATTATAGTACCCTCGGAACAAAGATTACAATAACTGTCCTGGCCTTCTGGCCCTTGCGGGGGTGATATATCGCCCATGGTGCTTGGATGTAGCTGAGCCTGTGATGAAAGCAGCTCAATAGGGACGTAGGGACGGATATTCTCCCTTGAGCTGGTTAGTTCCGTTAAAAAGTGTTTTATAGTATATATGCTGCGTGGTTTAATGTGCATTTGCTAAGGGGATATATTTTGAGAACGTAAATGTTTCGGGTCACAGCTACTACCCCTACCAATTCTATCTCGAATCATCACTGATTGTGGCATGTTTTGACAAACGCAGTAACAATTTGGTATCCAGTTACTCCCAACCTAAATGCGCTATTGAAGTGAATCAAAATTCTTGTAGTATGGAATTTTATGAACTCTTAGGCACGTTTAATTCATTTTGGTGAATTAACTCTGTTTTCGAGATATATGCGAAAAACTAAAAGAGTGCGAACTTATTGTTCTAAGGATAGGAAAGGCGGATGGGAGTGAATTTTAAGAAATATCTTACAGATAGTAACTTTTATCTCGTTTGAAGATCACGTGCGCAAAAGTTGGTGAAGATCGAAATGATCGTGTAGATTTATATATTTAT